TTACCATTGATATGAGAGGGGAAAATGTTTTTAAAAAGAAGAAATCTTTGTAGAATTCTTTAACACAGGAGACTGCTGTGATATAGAAGGATGGAATCACAGAATAACAGATATTTCAGAGATGCTGTAGAGTGAATTCTCATATTCTCTTTCTCTCAGAGAAAGAGAGAGAGAAAGAAAGACAGAGGGAGGGAGGGAGGGAGAGAGGGAGGGAGAGACTCCCTCTGTTATGTTGATGACACAGTATTGGGGTAACCACACACCTCCCACACCTGGCTCTAGAGGACACCCTTATAGCTGACCCTCCACCAGGTTCTGTAAATCTATTGGGAGGTGATCACCCATCTACCTCTCCAGGTGCAGATGGTGAATTCAAGCCACCTGCCTTTCAACTCCTTTCCTAGTGAGTGTTTACAATCAATCTCAGGTTGGGTATACAAGGGCAATACAGAGCCAAAGAGGAGAAAATAAATTTCTACCAAATTTTGCAGTTGGAAATCATGCAACCAAGATGAATTGATAATAATGGGTGACTGGAATGCAAACTTTGGAAGCAAGAAACAAAGAGCAGAAGTGGGGAAACATGGACTTGGTGACAGAAATGAGGTTGGAGATCAAATCATAGAGTTTTGAACTATCAATGTTTTAATTCCTTGCAAAAACATTTTATAACAAATACAAATAACAACTATATACATGGGCCTCACCTGATGGTCTATACAGCAATCAGATTGATTTCATCTGTGGAAAGAATTGTTGAAAATGCTCAAAATCAACTATGAAAACTAGCCTGGTGCTGATTGTGGAAAAGACCATCAACTGTTCACAGGCAAGTTCAAAATGAAACTAAAGAAAATGAAAACAAATCCATGAGAACTAAAATTTTACCTTGAATCTATCCCAAATTAATTTAAAAACCATCTCAGAAACAGGTTGGAGGCCTTGAACATTAATGAATGAAGAGTTGTGGGATGATATTAAGATTATCATCACTGAAGAATGTAAAAGATCATTAAAAAAACAAAGGAGGAAGAAAAGATATATATGGTGTCAGAAGAGATTCTGACCACAGCTCTAGAATGCCAAGAAGCCAAAGCAAAGCAAAGCAATCAGAGCGATAAGGAGCTGAACTCAGGAAGTTAAGGAGGATTTCAAAGGGCAGTTTAAGAAGACAAAGCTATATATTATAATGAAATGTGCAAAGAGCTGGAGTCAGAAAATGAAAAGTGACAAAGTTGCTCAGCATTTCCTAAGCTGAAGGAACAGAAGAACAAATTTAAGCTTCAACTTGCAATACTTGAGGATACTATGGACAGAATATTGAATGGGCCAGGAAGTGTAAAAGAATATGAAAAGAGTATTCAGAGTCACTGTACTAAAAAGAGTTATCTGACAAAGAAGAATTTCATGACATGACATATGATCAAAAGGCAATGGTGATGATGGAGGAAGTTCAAACTGCTCTGAAGGAACTGGCAAAAAACAAGACTTCAGGAATTGATGGAATACCAATTGGCATATTTCAACAAACACATACAGCCCTGGGCATGTTCACCAGGTTGTGCCAAGAAATGTGGAGGTCAACTACCTTGCCAACTGACTGGAAGAGGTCCAATTTAGTTCCATTCCAAAAAGAGGTGATCTGACAAGAGCATGGAAATTATTGAACAATATCACTAATGTCATATGCAAGCAAAATCCTGCTGAAGGTAATTTAAAAATGACTGCAACAGGACATTAACAGAGAACTACAAGAAATACAAGCTGGGTTTCAAAGAGGCTGTGGCACTAGAGACATTATGGCCAATATCAAATGGATCTTGACTGAGAGCAGAGCACAAGAGGAATGTCTATCTGTGTTGCATTGACAGTGCAAAGGCATTTATTTAACTATGTGGGTCACAACAAATTGTGACTAACCTTAAGAAGAATGGGAATCACAGAACACTTGATTGTTCTCGTGTGAAACCTGTGTTTAGACCCCAAAGCAGTTGTCAGGACTGAGTAAGGAAACACTACATGGTTCCAAAATCAATAAAGGAGTGCAGCAGAGATGTGTCCTTTCCCATATCTTTTCAATCTATATATAAAGGAGATCATTTGGGATTTTGGACATTATGAGGATTAATGTGGTATCAGGATTGGAGGAAGACTCCAAAACAACCCATGTTTTGCAGATGATACAATCTTGCCTCCTACTGAGGAGAACCTAGAGCATTTGCTGCAGAAGGCCACAGACTGCATCTTCAGGATGGGTTGAAGTTCAACATCAAGAAAACAAAGATTCTCGTCAGTAGGCCAATTGGCAGCACTATGATAGATGGAGAAGAGATTGAGATTGTTAACAATTTCAGCTTGCTTGATCTAACAATCAACACTCCTGGCACCAGCAGTCAGGAAATAAAAAAGACTTTGCATTAGGAAAATCTGCTGTCAGGTATCTCTTCAGAGTGCTTAAGAGCAACAATACCAATCTGGAGATGAAGGTGTGCCTGATCCAAGCCATGATCTTTGCAATTACTTGCTATATATACATTAGACAGCTAGACAATGAATGAGAATGATAGAAGAATTTATACCTTTGAGTTGTGGCATTGGAGAAGAGTATTGAACATACCATGAACTACCAAGAGAACAAACAGGTATGCCCTTGGGAGGGTGAAACAAAGCTACTCCTGTGAGGCCAGGATTTTGAAGTTCCATTTCACACACTTTGAGCATGTTGTAAGGAGGGAGCAGTTCTTGGAGAAGGACACCATATTTAAATGGATGGAGGGATAGCTCAGCGAAGAAAAACGATGAGATAGATTGACTCAGTAAGTGGGATAATGGTGTTACGTGTATCAGAGATAGTGAGATTGGTTCAGGAAAGAGCAGGGTTCAGAGCTGCTGTACATGTAAGCATGTATAAGTGCATATAAGTCACGGGTTTCACAGCACATACTAAAATAACAACACTGGAAAATGTTGTTTTTCTGTACCATCAAATCAGAACCAATTCATAACAGACACTGCAATATGTTTGGGGACTTCAGAGGCAGTAAATTCTACAGGAGGAAATGGACCATCTTCTCCCCAAGAAGAGCTACTGGATTTGAACTTCCTCCCTTTGTATTGTCAGTGAAATTGCTTACACTTAGCCACCAGAGCTCCCCGAATACTAAAAATCTTGTAGATTATGACTCAACACTATAAAGGCAAGTTGTTGAAAATAAGCAGAGATGGTGATGACTAAGAACTCATGGTATATTGAAAAGCATTACGGAGGACAGAAAAGATGGTTAAGACTTGAATTAGCATTAAGTGAATGAATACAAGAAAGTCATAAGCTTTCTAGTATGTTGGCAGAGAAACAAGTTAATGTAAACCATAAAAAAAAGAATCAGAGAAATGTGTGTCCATTTAACATGGGAGAATAGAGCTTTCAGAAGTAGTGCAGTGCAAGCTAGAGATTGTAACCTTGACTATGTTGTCATTTAGGACTGAATAATTCTTTGGAGTGCACAGAAAATCCCCTAAGCTTTGTAAAGTGTTTAATATCATTCTTAGTCTCTGCCCACCTGAAACCAGCAGCATCTCAACACCTGTGATAAATAAAATTGTCTGCAGACATTGCTAAGTGCTTCCTGAGAGACAAAAATGTCTCTGGGTGAGAACCATGTGAAAATTCTGTGGTGAAAAAGTGAATGCTAAATATGAAGTGGATAAAAAAATTACATGGGAAATTTGCCAACATTATATCTTTTAAAAATCTTAGCCCAGAAAAAAATTCTTTCTCTGGGGCAAAGTTCTATACTGGTTGGTACGGGATTCTGAGACATAAACAAACAATATTTCTAATGTCTGATGTGAGAGTGTAAAAAACTATACTATATTAGAGAAAAGGTGTTCTAATGCTGCACGTTCTCCCAAAACAAAGGTAATAGTCATTAAAATCACTGAATGATACATATGTTGTTGTTATGTCGAGTCGCTTGCAACTCATAGCGACCCTATGTACAACAGCCCTAAACTCTGCTCTGTCCTGTGCCAATTGCACTATCTCCAACACACCCATCCTGATTACCCCAGTCACTGAATCAATCCACCTCATAGAGGGCCTTCCTCTCCTTTGCGTCCCTCCACCCTCCCAAGCATGATGTCCCTCTCCAAGGACTGGTCTCTCCTTACAACATGTCCAAAGTATGTT